TTTCTCCAAAAAACCAACAACCTCATTATCAGCTTTTTTGTGTAGCACACCACTTCAAGTAACAAGTATGAGCTTGGCGGATCACATTTACTGCTGGCTTTAAATGAGGAAAAACAATGTCCACTCTAAAGCTAGCCAAAGGTTAATCATGATTTCCATTTAATGACTGTTGTGACTTGATTGTTACCCACCCAAATTAATATGCTGAAAATAGGTGTTTGTAAATACCATCACCGTTTCACCAGCCTATATACATACAACCTTGTGCATGCCACTTCAAGACCATCCCAAAATTCACAACAACATTTTTCTGTAGGCCCTTAACTCCAACAATTATAAGCATCATCAAATATAAAAGTTTATGTATTAATATTTTTTTTGTTTGTCTTCTGAGAAACAAGTTTTTGCATCAATCTCATGGATCAGATGACGAGCTTACGTCACATTGAGCGCGACTTCAGGTTGGAGGGGTGGACCGAGGAGGAAGAGAAGGTTTACTGTCGGCTCTTCTTCCAAAAGTGTTCTGAAACCCTGGACGTAGACAGGGCGCCTCTGCTGAATTCCCTCTGGTTCGGACTTTCTCGTCAGTTATCGGAACTCATGCAAAAGGAGTTTACCTGGACGAAGGTGCGGGAGAAGATCTATTGTCTTCAACTACAATACCGTGAATTCCTTTGCTACATGGTGACACCGGGAGTTCGCGTGCATGATGACGATGGTTTGGTTAGCGTTAACAAAGCATATTAGAACGTCGTTGGAGAGGTAATTGTATATTTCTTGGTTAACAACATTTTCTAATAACACAAGTATAAACTTCCAAACTAAAATATGGCTTTGTTGACAACATACATGAGAGCAATTTAGAGGTCTTTATCCGTTGGAATGGCTTCAAATGGTACAACTATTGTCTGCAGTTGTGGACCGTGTGCGGTGCTACTGATGTGGATATCCAAGCTAACCCCGGTGCGAACAAAGACTATCCAATTTGTCTAGATGATACTATGTCTGATGTGTGGTCCAAAGATGGCATGGAGGATGACTTTGAAGATCTTCAGGATGTTGCAGGCCCAATTTATGAAAACCCACTTCCGTTGGATCCGCTGAATGATGTACAAGCCGATGAAGATGTAATGAGTCAGGGGTCGGATGTCGACTCGTGCATGGACTCCGTGTAGCTGACAACAAGTTTAATGGACGGTGTTACAACTCTTATTTGGCCAATCGGTCCCGTCTTTATGTTGTTGTTTCTATCCTGCGTAGGTTTCTATTTTGGATTATGTTATTAGTGTGCTTATTTATAATTAGGCTACCTAGTTTTAAATCCTTTTGTTAAGTCAATTTCCCAAACTTTTGGTGTGTTTTGGTGTGAAGTAAGATGCAGTGTCGTGTAATGGGGGATTAGATCAAGGCAGTCGTGTGTAAAAGTTTACGTTTATGTCAATATTGAAGCTACTTATTATTATACATGTTGTGTGCTTTGTGAAATTAATTACATGGGAATATGACTTTACTTTTATATATTAAAATAACAATAGATCCAGACTATGTATGTCTTAGTGGTAACCAAAGTTTAGAAAAATAAATATAATCCGGTTTCAAGTAATGTACATTGGAACAAATAAGTACGTACTTGTACGTAGATTTTACTTTCATGAACACATATATGAAACAAATGAAGGTAAACCGAGGATTTAATAAGAACCATGACTACATTAATACAAACATTAATTCTTACAACAAATGTACGCCATTAGTAGTAGGGCTCAATGGCCACAAAAGTTCCTAACTTAAAAATAGTACGAAATTCAAGAAAAACCACAACTGTTCAGATTGGTGGATCACTAGAAGACCCTTTGGATGGTGATGGAGCCGGCTTACGTGGTGGTCGGGGAACACGCAACAGTGTTCCACCCTCCCGCCTTGGAATGTTGACATGTGTGTGCGTATTCACTGAACCTTCCAAAGCATCGCGTTGACGGCCATTTACTGGATGAAAAACGTTGTTTTCAGTTGAGCCATTTAATGGTTCATTAGTTAGCGAAAAAAGCGAGAACACGTAGGACTGTTCGGTCAACCAAGCTACATCATATTCGTTGGTGGAATTCTGGTTTAACACCGATGGTGCATTTCATGTGGCTTCGTACACCTTTGTGAACAAATATCGTATCTGCCCGACGAGGGTCCCCGGAATGTTGGTATGCCACCGAGAATGGGTCGGACTGCCTATAAAAAAGTTATGGAATCGGACAATAAAATGATAATAATTAACTTAACGCTTCAAACTTTTTTAGTAGAGGACATGAACATACTCAGTTTTTAATACTTATTTACCATATCATACCATACCCATCAACATAAAATATTTCAGTTAGTAAAACCAAAAGAGCAATAGAGGCCTCTCAAAATTTGTCTTCAACACATATCTCTGAAGTTACAAACCCATCAGTGTTTCATTTTCAATTAAAAATTCAAAACAAAAAATACATAGACCAAATGACAAGGATATACCTCGAAGATGTCATTCCACACTGCTACCGGTGCCGTCAGGACGTTGGATTGCACACAGTGGCACAACCCATGCTTTCGTAGAATCCAACTAAAAACATGAAACCGCTTGTGAAGGAAATTGAACCATTCTTGAAGTTCAGTCAGACTAAAGGAGACACCTAGATCTGCCACCAATACACCATGGCAGTAGTGGAATACATGAGAGCCTGGTCTGCCCTGTCTTCATTCCCCAGCAACATGTGCCTCGACAAGAAGGTCTATGAACAAGTTGTCATCTTTGGTCCAACGAGCATTGGAAAGAAGCTCATCTTGTTTAGCTTCCCTTC